ATTTTATTGTTGCTGCTGAGTGACGTCAAACTGTTACCATTCTGCGCATGCGCATTTTTGTACCTACAGGGAGAGCGAGCGAACCGAATCTGCTTTGTTGTTAGCGTCGATGCTGTGACTTTCTGCCAATTATACGCTATTTGCAAGATCGCGCTGGCAATTTTCACGGTGCTTAGCGGACATAAAACGCTGTAGGCTTCGTTTAAGTTAAAAATTAGTGCTGTTTTAGCCGCTTGGACGCTCCAGACGATAGAAGTCGGTACCTCTCTGGTCTCTTGTATATAAACAAAACGCTTCATGCTGCTGTTTTTAAGGTGGCYCGTCTAAAACAGCTGCGAAGCTCGTCGATGCCAGCTTGTTAAGTTAGCTAACTTCGTGTCGCTCGCTTTGTCAGCGATGGAAATAGTCGTGCAACAGTGTTAGGAGTTAAACTACTCCATAGTCTTCGTGTGAACATGAGAGAAGAGGACAGTTTGCTGCTGGGAAGCCAGTCCATGGCKAGTGAAAGAGGGGGTGAAAGTCCCTGCAGCTGCCCCCACTTGACGGAGGAGAAAGGACTTGGCGACAAGAAGGGTGACCTGAGGCCTCCTTGTCATTTCTTCAGGTCTTCATAGGAGAAAAGCAGACTTTTTTTTCTTCTTTTGACAATGGAGACGGTGGGGAAATTTGAGTTTAGTCGGAAGGACCTGATAGGACATGGCGCATTTGCTGTCGTGTTTAAAGGAAGGAACAAAGAGGTGATTTGCTCACTTTTTACATTTTTATTTTTAAGCAGTGTTAATGATAAATATCAGAAGTCAATCTCAACGTATTTGTTGAAAATTTAACACGAATTTGCATGTTATTGGCCATTTTGACGTTTGTTGTCATCGTACGGCCTTAAGAGGCCCGACATAGCAAACAGGATATTCCTTGATAAACACAGACCATCCTAAAATACCTCTAACAGTTTCAAAACATTTTATAAATGCATTAATAGTAAATCTGTGACTGCCTTCATTATTATCTAAAAGTGTTGTGACTCAGCGTTGTTCTAATCAAATATATAGGCCACGTGTTGTTTCCCTTTAAGCGCCATTAAATAAACATGTTGGAACATGTACTCGGATTGAAAAACATGGAAATTATAGAAGCTTTGATTGCACACTAAATGTGATTCAGTGTTAAATGCTATGATGAACGTGTTGACATAATTTTTGCAAAAGAATCAGTGACATCTTTAAAAATATTGCCAAACATCTGCAGTAGTTAGTGCATTTTCAGGCTGGCAGTACATTTGCACACTAATAATCAGTTCACATTGTGAGAGGAATCCAATACAACTGCACAAACATTGCATTGCATGCTGTGTTTATTCCACTGAAAATRGATCTTCCTTGCAATTTGTCCTTTCAGAAACCTGACTGGGAGGTGGCAGTAAAATGCATAAACAAGAAGAACTTGGCCAAATCTCAGACTCTTCTGGGTAAAGAGATKAAAATACTGAAGGTATGTCAGACTTGTTTTAGTTTCTTTCTGTCAGGTTCTGGACATCTCAGATCTTATGTTTAGTGGACTTTGGTCGTGTGATAGCGTTTCATATTGAGGAACTTTTAAAATCGAAAATTGGTCAGCTTGACAGGTTTGTGCAGCTGAACATGATTATGTGAAAGACTGTCACATCAACAAATGAAAAAAAAAGCACAAATTGTGCAGGTCTAAAATATTTAAAAAAATGTACCCGCAAGTAATTTATTTTTTGTCGTTATTTCTGCAGGAACTCAAACATGAGAACATCGTTGCTTTACTGGACTTTCAGGTATGCAGTATTTAAATCATAAATGCCATTTAAGCTGTGTTTGTTCCATGTTCGTAACATGCTACAGGAGTTAGCATGTTAGCAGGTYATATAGACTCATTACAAAAGTTAAGAACCCAACTAATGACCATTGGCTTGTCAGGAACAACAGAAGAATCATTTTGTGCACAATTACTTTAGAAGTGTATAAAAACTACAAACAGGCCAAAATATTGAACAAGAACCTATTGACTCTGGTGTTTTATTTCACACTATATCATTGTAAATAATAAATTAAATCCAAATTTATAGCCTTGATGTTAAATATTGTAAATAAAAATGTTGAGTTTTCTGCATGCAAAGTGAAGCAAAACATTGTTGGGTTATTTATGTTCCCACTCATGCAGTTTGAACTAATAATTTTCCTACTTGTCAAACAGTTTTGTAACATTCTACGCATAGATGTTTTTGRATCCTAAAGTTTTAGATTGCACTCWGTCCMTTTGAGCACTGTCARCAWTTCCTGTGTTTACATTTTGTGTGCAGTCACACCTCCCACTCCCAATGGCCTTTGTCAACAAGGCTTTCTGGGAAGTGTAGTGTTACTTTCTCTGTGCCTCAAGTCTTATATTTATTTCTAAGTCATGAACTTAGACAGATATATATGTATTTATTTTTTACTAGTACCAGCAGCGGCAGACATCTGTGTTGATCTTATTTTCTCCCTGTCAGAATAGCTGCTGCATTGTTCGGTGATAAATGCGACTCTTCAGTCACAGCGATGCTGTTGCCTGTAGCCTGGTTACTGATCTGAAGCTCACAATCCCAACACCTRCTGGGTTGCTGAGACATGATGTCCCTCACGTCCTCACACACAGATTTATCTGAACCCAGCAGGTGTTCCTTTGTTTGCTTTTTTGTTTTTTTGGTAATCCCTAATTAACACACGGCCATCTGGTTAAAAACAGAAAACTAAATTACATTGTAATACAACATGTATTAAATAAGATAGTTTAGAGGTTGGCAATCGATGCTCATTTTGATTATTTTATGTTTTTTTTCTATTACTACTCATTATTATTATTATTACTATTACTATTAAATAAAATCTCACGTTTGAGTCTTGAGATTTTATTTGTTGCAATATATATAAAACTCTAGTGAATGCAAATTAGCAAAGAAATCTATTACAGAATTGACATTTTTGTTTTCAAAGCTTTGATTTGACCTTTGTTTTTCTAGCCTTCTCTCCTTTAGTAATGAGTTGTTGCATGTATTCATGTGAGCACTGCTATGGCAGCAGCTCTAAAGGTCATTATCAGCAGCTAGAAAGAAAAGAAAATCACTTTCAAGAAGTTGACGTTTCTCTGCCAGTTTCGCAGAAATGCTGCTCTTATCGCTGACAGRGGGTGAGTCGGTGCAAAAGCAGCGACCTTCTCTGGGTAAAAGGATTCTTGTGGTGTTCTCGGGTGGTTATTCATCCAGATAACCAAGAAGGGTCTGAAAGAATCTGACACCAAACCAAACACTGCACATCAGCAGAAATCTCTTTCTGTTGTGTTTTTGCGTCTGAAGGGACAGGAAATAAATACTAGTGTTCTAGACCAGTGTTTCCCAAAGTTGGGGTCGGGACCCAAAGTGGGGTCCCGAAACATCAAGGTGGGGTCCTGAAAAGATTTTCTGAATTAATTACATGTTTGCCTTCGTTGTTACAAAGGAGTGAGGTTAGTATATTTTAAAATGGATAAATGTAGTATAAAAATATTGTTACTATGCCCATGTTTTGTTGACCTGATACAAATGTTTATCATCCAGAAATAGTTGGGGGCACAGGTCTCTGCTACTGTTATTTTGTGGGTCAAAAGCTGAAAAGTTTTGGAACCAGTGTACTTTGGTTCCCAAAGTTGGGCTTGGGACCCAATTATGGGTCATGAAGCACCTTGGATAATCTCCAGAAATCAATTTAAAGAGTAATAAAATAATTGCTGATGTAATATTTTTCCTATAATTATTACAAAAACACAAAATAACTATAAATAAGTATTTATATTTGTGTACAAGCTGTTTAGATTGTCAAAAAGCCTGTGTTTTTAGGGTGATTAACGAAGTTTGTGTACTCAGAACAGTAATATTTGGGGTCACAAGTTTTTGCCATGGATATTTTGTGGGTCAGAAGATAAAAAGTTTGGGAACCACTGTACTGGACGATCACTGGTCCAGGCGAAAACAAGGTTACAGCCTCAAGGTTTGAATAAGATGGATAAAATATAAAGTGAGCAAAGATAAGAGATTAGTTTTCCATAATTGGGTACAAGTCAGAATCATTTCTGATCAATGCTGGAATGTACCAGGTCTGTCCTTTGTCCCCGACACCTGGCGTAATCTCTATGGACTGAATTTTTTAGCCTAGCCAGGGATTGGAGGGGTCAGAGTTTGGGAGGCTTCGAGTTTCATTGTTGCTTTTAGCTGACAGTATGATCCTGTTGACAAAACATTGTGCAGACACTGAGGTGGTTTACAGCAGAGTGTGATGCAGCCAGGAAAAAGATAAGTGCCTTTAAATCTGAGTCTGCGCTGCCCTAATAGAAGAACCACCTGTAAGCTGAGGATGGTCAACTGCCTCAAGTAGAAACGTTTGATTGTGTCATGATCTTATTTATTAGAACAGAGCAGAAGTCTGGTAGGCAGATTTGAGCAGTGCCTGGTCTGTTGTGAAAAGTGTTGAGTCAGAAGGCAAAGTTGTTGATTTAACTAGTGGATCGACATTCTAATCCAAATGTAGAGTACAACCTATGGGGATGGGTGGGCTCCCTTTCAGAGCTCAACTATTTGGGATTAGCACTCATTAGATAGACTGCTTTTTCACATTGCTCAACCAGTTGATCTGGTTTGATGACGAGATCTTATGAACACCATCCGGGTTTTCATCATGTCCGATTTATAGGAGACCTTGGGGCAGACCATAGACTTAAATATATAGATCACTAGACTGAGCCCCACCCATACTGTCCACTGATAGCGTCTGTGACAACATGGAGGAGCAGAAACGGAGACCTAAAAGGGCAACAGCTCACAGCCTCCGTAGAAACATAGATAAACAGCAGCTGAACTGGATCTGTTTCACAGATTATCTGTCATGTTTTTACAATAAATTAATAATTATGTTAATTTCGTGCAACAATCATGTAAAACAGCAGATATATATACTAGAAAATATAATATAATTTATGAGTAACAATGATCTAAAGCAGACCTGAAGTCAGCCTGTAACTTAGACTTTAGCTAGTTGAAAACTGATGACTTCAGCTAGTAATAAAGTATATTTATTATTTCTTCTCACTGTCATAAAAATAATATTTATATTTACCAGTCAACAGTTAGAAAATGTTCTCTGGTTATAGGATGAAACTTGTCTCTATTAGCTAACATCTTCTCAACAGGTCAGGTTCCTCTAACAGAAACCTAAAAATACTCACATTTATAATATTATTTTACACTCTGTAGGTCTAAATATTAATCAGACATTTATAATATTATTTTACACTCTGTAGGTCTAAATATTAATCAGACATTTATAATAATATTTTACACTCTGTAGGTCTAAATATTAATCAGAGGACAAAGTAATATTTAATGGTTTGTGTTAAATTGTAGCATGATTCAACAGTGCTACACTATGTATATGCTCCACAAGCTAATATCTGCTAACCAGTTCAATAAATAACAGTGATTACAGCAACTTTATAAGATTATTTTAATTTTAAACTGTTACATTATGTTCTGCTCAGATCACATTGAGCTAAATAAGATCAAATTTGCTGACTTGTGCTGTAAAATGAGAGGTTTTCCTGTTTATCTTCTGTTAATAAATCCATAACACAAACAGCTTTTATGACATTATTTAAAACATTAGTTAGATTATATAAACTGTAAAATATTAATAATTGGATTAATATTATTATTAATAGTTTTTATGATTTCTACATTGTCAGTCCTTTTTTCTGCTCTGTTATCAACATGTACAGTGATGGGAAATCCAGACTCTTGACCGTTCTGTGTTAGCCGTTAGCTTCTCCAGCTGATCACARGGTCACSTGGTTTCTGCACACTCCAGCTGTTCTATAGAACCTCCTCGGGGCAGACGCAGATCTTGCTGAAGAGCTTGTCTTGTTCAGAATGATGCTAAGGATGGTCTGTGGCTCTCGGGCTGTTGCCCAAACAGCCTGGTCTCGAGTTAATCAGATCAATGAGGCAACTGATAAAAATGTAAACGCCACATATTTTGATGAACGTTTATTGTAATTCACTTTGAMTTATAATCATTCCTTGCTTCTACTTTCTAAAAATATTAGCTTTTTTAAAAAAAATTGATGTTAGCTTTTTTCAAAAGAATATAATCACTCTAAAGGGCCCAGTAGAGTCCATCTGAAGCCAACAGTCGATGCGCGGTCACCTGGTTGTTCGCAGATGGATTCCTCAGTGCAAAACGTTCGATTTGTCTCCAATCTGTGAGTTTTTGGCCATTTGAATTATCTTTATAAATGTCTGCTTCAGAGCACAACCGTTAACTTCGGGAAGCACGTTATTTTTAGAAAACTGAGTAGTTGGAGGAAAATGTAGCACCTAAACACTTTCAGCATCAACAAATGTGCCCACAAACGTCTGACCAAACAAARGGTAAGTTCTTATGCAGAGGGGGGGTGAAACGTTCTCCCGGTGGGTTGTGACAAGCAGGGGTGGAAGACTCAAAGCTGCGAACAGAATGATGTGATTTTCATCATGTAACTGCGACGGTGAGAGTCAGTTTCGGCACTTCAGATGGAGCACGTGGACGCCTTTSGTTTTTACTTCAGGTTCAGTGCCTAAATTCTCCCCTAACTTATAAATCCAGACTGTTGGCCTTCTGCCTGGACCTGACTGGCTGCCTGTTTGCTGTCCGTCTTCATTAAAGCCAAAAGCAGCCACCGGTAGAAGTCCTGACTCAGCTGAACCACAGAAAACAGGCTGGCCTCTGACCGCTGCATTCAGAGAGATACTGAAATAGGGTCAGAGTGAGAGACGGCCGTCATCTGTTGACATGTGATAAGAGAGCTTTTTTAAAGCCTGAAGTAATTTTGTATGGATTCCTTCAAATTTTTTGAGTTTCTAAAGAACAGAAGTTGCAGTAAATAATAATGGTTGAAGCAATTCCTCACATGTCCAACAGCACCTGTTCTGTTTGTTGTTTTTCTGTGTAAATAAATCGATTTCCGTCTCTTCTGTTTCTTCTTGTAAGTTTCCACAAACTCTTGCCCACCACAGGTGTTCTATTTAATTTGTGAATGACTGTTTGTGTAGAGATGTGAGTTAGTAAATGGTTTACTAAAGTGGTGTTTTCAGTTAGACTTGCTTTCTAAAGCTTTAATAGTATTTGGGGAGAGTGTTGGCTCTTTTAAGGCCCAACATATTTCTGAAATCATAATTACATGTTCACTTTGTTCCCTAGCAAGCTCTTTTTTTTTTAATTCATCCATGTGTTTTTGTACACCAACTCTTATTCTCTCTCTTTAGGAAACTGCCAGCTCGGTGTACCTGGTCATGGAGGTAAGCTTGCTGTGATCCCTTGTTTTGTTTGCAGAGCGATGTGTTGTCTCAACTCTGTCAGCTATAATTAGCTGAGCCTTCAGGCATTAAACCAGTAAATGGTTGCCAGAGAATATTTACATGCTGTTTTCTTTTTTTTTTGTCAAGACTTTGTTCTATTAACCTGATGATAAGTAGTAGGATTGATGTGTCCTTTTACCTATTTGGCATTTGGATTCTTCCTTTTTTGGCATTGATAATGCACACCATCAATGTCAGCAGTTTTTTTTCTTTGTTGATTTCTGTTGCTTAAGGCCCTGTCATACGTAGAAATTTTTTTAAAGACATCTATGTTAAGGACGGAATAAAAAACAACTGGAATCCTATTTTAGGAATGTACATAATATAATACTAATAAATTTATCAAAGGTATAACTTATTATTAATTTAGAGAAAAAAAGTTTCACAAGTTGCCTTAAGTTGTCTAAAATGTTATAGTATGACATAGGGCTGTGTATTGGCAAGAATTTGGCGATACGATCCATATCATGACAGAGGGGTCACAATACGATATATCCCGATATATTGCGATACTGTTAGCAAGGTGATTTATTGCGATTATTTTTGTCCAAAAATTCTATTAAATAAAAACCTCTTACTGGGAAAAAAAATGAAAAACTAAAATTCATTGTCTCAGAAAATTCTAATATTACATAGACATACTTTTGATACATTTAGCTGTGTTCTGCTTTGTATGTATTTGATTTTATTTGTTTCATATTTCTTATCTCATCCATGTTTTCAATTATTAGACTAAATTTGGCAATAAATAGTTTGAAAATATATTTTTTGCAGCTTTTAATTTTTAATAATTTACAAAACATCCACCCAACACTAAACAATAGCCTTTATGTTGTCATAAAGTTCAGTAAACAGATGATATGAAGCTGCTGCACACAGAGTTTCTGGGATCAGCTGATCTGCATCCAGAACCTGATTTGCATAACTGTGGGTCAAACAGCAGGGCAAGTCCCGAAAATAAACAGTAAATAAATGGAGAAGCTAAACAACACAGTTAAACAGTTTTTGAAGTGAAGCAGGATAAACAGCAGGATAAACTTAAAGTAAATGGACTTTGATGCGATCATCAGCTGGACATCATTGAGAGCAACAGAGTTTTATGTCACGGGGGGAGTGCCGAACTCAAGGCGCTAGAGATGCATGGGTTAGCCTTCCGTAACGTGAAAGCTGACCACAGTTGGAAAAAGAGCACACAAGACACTTAATTTGGCTTAAAATACAGATATTCTGACAAATCTGTTCGTAACCTTACCTCAGCTTAGAAGGCAGAGGGTGTCGGTCTTTTCCGCTCAGATTCAGCTATCGGAGCATGAAGCTAATGTTTACTTACAATGCTAATGCTCTCTTACTCTCTGGCGCTCAAGAGGTAGAGTAGCCAAATGGCTGGCTCACTGCTGCCAACTAGTGGTCAGAGGCTGAACTACAACATAAAAATGAACGGCTGGCTGGAAAGTTGACAKTTTAAACCTTAAAAAAATTGATACAGGGCTTTAGAATATCGATACAGTATCGGGAAATGAAATATTGTGATATTTCAGTGTATCGATATTTTCTTACACCCCTAGTATGACAGTGCCTTAAGAGTTTGAAATAATGTATAGTGTGCACACTAGTCTGGGTACTCTGGATGTTTTTTTACTACTGCTGTCTCACGTTTTCTGTCGTTGATCATTTTTTAGTTGAGATTAATGTATAGTTTTGCTTTCTCTTGAACTGGAAAGCAGGATTTTTTTTATACTTATCTCTGGGTACTAAAGAATGAGATTACTTTTAGAGGCAGCTACTTGTCACACTTCATTTTCCCCCTGGTTCATTCATATTAATAATACCTGGATGGGGAAGGAGGATATAAATCTGTTAGTGCTTCACTTTTAAGCAAATCCCTCCTGTGATCWCCTCAGCTGTCTCTGAGGTGGGGTTAAAAAGCCCTCCTTGTTTCATGTGTGTCATAATATTATTCCATTGTAGATCTCTCCCATCATGTCTTCTTTATTTAATTTAATTTTATATTTCAGTATTGCAATGGAGGTGATCTTGCTGACTACTTACACTGTGAGTTCCATCTACTATTAATCAATCAGCACCACATACAGTAAGATTTACAATTGTTGGTCTTTTTTTTTCTTTTACATTTTTCCTGCAGCCAAAGGGACACTGAGTGAGGACACCATTCGAGTGTTCCTGCAGCAGATCGCAGGGGCCATGAGGGTCCTACAGACCAAAGGAATAATCCATCGGGACCTCAAACCCCAAAACATTCTGCTCTCCTACCCACCAGGACGCAAATCTCACTCCAACAACACCTGCATCAAGATCGGTAGGTTTTGACAGTCAGGAAACATGAACACATTTAGAAACTACAATGCTTTTTTTTTTTTTTTTGGCTTTTCAATCTCTACATCCCCCAGTTCTGGTGGAGTTTCCTGATATTCAATTAGCCGGTGTTTGAGATTTCAGCTAAATGTTTTAGTTTTCCTGTGAAGTGATCAATGATGACTCAGTTCAGTCACACGTGAAGCCCAGCTGCTTTAAAAAATTGCACTTAAACTGCTGCAAGGATTTCTAAAACTATCTGTGACTTGTTTATGGGTTTTTTAAAATGGATTATAAAAAGACAAATCAGTAAAACTTTGATATATACTTGATCTTAATGCCCCCGAGCACATAAAGYCTTGTGTGAGTTTGTTTTTTCACTAAAACCATTCACTGCATATGTGGGTCATGTCCGAGCTGTGGAGAATTCACACTGGAGTCAGATGGGGGTTGCGTTTAAATTATAATGAGAATGTTCACGCCAAAAAAAAAAAAATCTGAATTAAGCGTTAAGACCTGCAGTGTGAACGTAGCCCGTGAAGAAATCACTTTTTAATGCTGGAGTATTATAATGTTTAGGTTTTATTGGTTTTCGACCAGACGGTTCAGGTGGAAGTCTGCAGAAGACTAAAATAAATGTTCTTAGAGCTCTGTAAATATTTTGAAGCCATCTGAAAGTTTTGTTTTCAGTTTATTCTTTAGTAAAATGGTCATACTTCTTCATACTTCATACTCTCATCCTTCTCATCCTCTTTTATTTTTCTCCCTCTGTGCAGCGGACTTTGGCTTTGCCAGGTATCTTCAGAACAACATGATGGCAGCTACTCTCTGCGGCTCCCCCATGTACATGGTAAACACAATTTGTAGGATTTTATACAGTTGGAAACAATCTTTTTAGCTTTAGTTTAATACTAAGATGGTAAAGTCATGCAATCATCTAAACTAAAGTTGTTGTTTTTTTTTGGAAAAACAACACTGCGTTTATGATCTATTTATTGTGTAAAACACTTCTTTGTTTAACATTACAGGATTGTGAAAAAGCAATTTATAAAACATTGGATTCCTGTAATAATGTGAAAACAATAACTGTTCTGTGACTCTTTTTTTTTTTCCTGAACAGGCTCCTGAAGTAATCATGTCCCAGAACTATGATGCCAAGGCTGACTTATGGAGTATAGGAACTATAGTGTTTCAGTGTCTGACTGGGAAAGCTCCTTTTCAGGTAAAACAAACATTATATTGTTAAAAATGATGTCTGATTGTAAACAATTATGTAGTTTTCTTGTCTTTATTGACCGTAATTCCAAAATAGAAAAATTTAAATGTGAAATTTAAAATAGATTTTTTTGTAACATTTGTCATAAATACATATAAACTAGAAATTAAATGTAATTTCTATTTAGTATTTTTTTGTCCGAGTCAAGAAAACATTCAGTTCAGTGTAACGTTACTCAGTTTTGATTGAAATGTTTTGTATTTAGGAGCTTATGTGCACGCTTTTAAGAGCTATGCAACAACAYKTAAAACCAGCAGGAGCAAAACAACAAGATCTGCAGCTTGATAAATACATTTTAATATTTAACTGTCAGTTAGAATTATGCTGCACCACTTCCTCTTTACCAGGTTACTCATCACCTAAGATAAGATAATGAGAACAAGAAATGGACATTTTGTTTATGGCAGCCTGAAATGAAAAATGGACACATTAAGCAAATAAGGAAATACAACAAAAACAAAAATAAAATCCTGCAGAAGATTTTGCTCATTGGCCAATAGATTTCCATGATCTGATCAGATAAAGATGAAGGAAGTATGGATTAGTTAAGGTGGCACATGCTTGTTGAGCTGACAGTAAAAAGAAACCTTTTTATTTAATTGTTTATTGTACTGCTTTATTATAATTTATAAAGGTTTTAGGTAGTAAAAGTAGGAATAAACCTCTGTGAAACAAATGTTTAGAAAAAAAGCAGCTCATTTTGAATGATATTTTTCCGAAACGTGGTAAAAAGCAGCATTTTTTTTTTCAAATAAGCAGAAATGTTTCTTTCAAATATTACGGGTCAAAAACTGCAAAGTGAAGATCACAGGTGGAACATAAACACCAGTAGATCACAGTGTTGTTGTGGTTATAATATTTCTTTGTTTTCCACTTTTCTCTTTAGGCCAGCAGTCCTCAGGACCTCCGGCTGTTTTATGAGAAAAACAAGAATCTCAGCCCCAAGTAKGAACCTGAAATGTTAGATTTAACACGGAGCTGAAGAAACATTATTTTCTGTTGTTGCTTATGTTTGTGTGTTGGTTAGATTGCATATTTTTTTTATACTGAATGTCTGATGATGATTATTTAGTCAAACAGGACAGATGCTGATCATAGCTGTAAAATAAAAGTAAACCTTGACTCTCTTTTGTTTTTGTTTTTACAAAAAAGAAAAGCCTTTGTTATATGGTTGAGTTTTTTTTATACATAAAGTACATGTTTGATTTTAGAGTCCTGTAGAAGCAGCTAAAAATATTTGTGTCGGTTATCTTGTTTTCAGRATCCCCAGAGAAACTTCAAACCACCTGAGGCAACTGCTGCTGGGTCTGCTGCAGCGCAACCCAAAGGACCGGATGGAGTTTGGTCAGTGAAATTCTCACAATTAGAAAAACTGTTACATACTTCACATACAGTGGTATTTCTAAATTGTAATTTTGCCTAAATTTAAAATGTCTGTTTTCAGTTTGCTTCATCAACTTGTTTCTTTCTGTCTTTGTTAGATGAATTTTTTTMTCATCTATTCCTGGATGCCAGCTCTTCTATTAAAAAAAGTGAGTCAGATGTCGCAGGAWACATTTGGGGGATTTATGTTTGGGTCTACACAATATTTTATGTAATAAAAAACGACTTCAATAATAGTTAATATGATTAGTAAAAAGTTCTGGTTGCATTTACACATTTATTGTAGGCTAAATGTCTTTATTTTTTTTATAAATTATTGAAACTGTGTTGCATTTATGTCCCAGCTACCCCCACAGTGACCATGACCTGTTTGCCCAGCTCTGCATCAGCCAGCTCCTGCAGCAGCTCGTCGACCTCTCACCTCGCCTCACCGCCGGTTTGTCTCCAGTACTTGGCCGTTTGCACCTCGCGCATGAGGCCGGTTGTTTAGGAGACCTGTCCGACCTTTGCCTTGTGCTTCTTTAGTTTACCTGCTACTTTCTGTCTTCCTGTGACTACAGCAGTCTCTTGCTGAGACCCAGCTACCGCGGGCCAAAGTTCCAGCCTCCCTGACCCAGGAGACCACCGGTTTACTCCTCAAGGACTCATCTGGAGCCGGCGGCAGCAGCAAGAACTCCTCCTCTTGTGACACGGATGATTTTGTTATGGTGCCTGCTCATTTTATGAGTAAGAGAAACRATTTTATTATATTTTATTTAACCCCTTTGCAAACATTGGACTTACAGTGTTCTAAAATCTCTTCATTGGATTTATACTGGTGATTATGAGCAGTTTATTAAATACAAGATAATCTGTTTTTGGTAAATGCCTTGCTTACTCTTCAGTAATTGTCTCATTTTTTTTTTTAATATTCCTGTATTTTCATCAGGTGAGCTGACGTGTGAGAGTAAAGTGCTGCAGGACAGCCTGATGAACAGCGGGTAGGAACCACAAACTTGTTTTCCCATTTGTCGTTATCACCTATATTAGTCTTATTATTGCCTGCTAGCAAAGTAGAAGCAATATTATTTTTGTTTATGGTTTAAAACTCATGAAAAGGTGGCAGAAATACAGTATGCCTTCCTCCGTGTAATGCTAAGCCTTTTAATAAATCTGTTTTTGTTAGTTTTTTTTGGAATACTCCCACTAATGTTTATAACTGTATTAATTTAAAGCATGGGTGTGCTCTCTTTTCTTCTTTAAGATGGGATTTTGATTTTATTTTTCTCTYCTTACATTAGCTCTCTTCTGGCTTCTTCTGGTAACCAAGTCAAAACGCCACCACACTCTCCTTCCTGCAGCGGGTCTCCAAGTTTTGTCAGGTATCAGTACAGAGCTGACTAAGTAAAAGTCATAGAGGAATATTCTCCATCTAAGAAAGTAAATAGAGACTTGTACTGCAGCTTCAGGCAAAACATTAACTTGAAATGAGGAACTATTTTGACTGCAGTTGATGTAGGGAGCCAAATGGTGTGTGTTCAAGTTGAGGACATTTTAAATTAAGTAAGTTTAGTAAAGTTCAGACTTTTTTTTCCTATTTGAATCAATAATTCATTCAGCCAATGCAGTGAATTGTTAAAACACACTAAACATAACTTTTGCTCGTGTATTTCTGCCTTTTTGTTTTGACCTTCTTCTCTCTGTTGTCTCCAGGCCCYTGGAGTTCTTGGGAAGTAACTACAGGAACCATGGACAGTCATTGCCCATCCCAGTGCCATCTCAGGTCCAGAACTATCAACGCATGGAGCAGAACCTGCAGTCAACCAAACAGGATGGCTCACCWAGGTCTGTGTCCAAACACACACCTGTGCAAACCGTATTTGTTAGCGCTGCTGCTGTACTGGGGTCAGTTTTTGATTGGAACTGGTGATTCCTCATCTCCATATTACCAGGCTGTCGACACCAGTYCGCCGTTGCAGCAGTGGGAGCTTGCCTGGCTTTAGACCCGGACCCTCACCCCCCAGGCAGGTAGCTGTTCCAGCCTCCCGCAGGCTCTCCCTGGGGGTTACCAGAACGTTCCAGCTCTCTCCTCAAGGTACTTAAGAAATGACCTCTGCTTTATGAGCTGTTAAATAAAGACTTTATCAGAAATCAGTACATAGGGTTCTCTTTTTACACCCCAACTTCTGAAAACAATTGCATTAACTGTATTTAGCTTATTTGTTTATTTATTTTGGTTATTAATGCTGCATGTATCATTGCTATAGTTATTTGAAAATTGGACAGAGTTTGTCATTTTCCTACGTTTTGGTAACCTTTGCTTCACACTTCCTATAAAAAAAGAACAAATTTTACCCCACACTGGGCCTCATGCAAGAACTGTTCGTACGAACAGATTTGTTAAGTTGTGCATATGAGTGGTTTAGGAGAGTTTGTGGCATTCACCAATTTTCTCGTATTCTAAGATTTTTTTCAGATACAAACAAAATTCACGAGTGGTCCAGACCTGTCGTATATTTTACGAGCAGTCAGTCGGCTGTTATCCAGATGGATTTTCTTCACTAATAACTTTATATTTCATTAATTTGAAGATATTTCAAGTTGAAAATAAATCACACTCCATAATTATGTTAACAATAGGCTATTCTGTTTGAACTGGAATTATAATTTTAAATGTAACTAATGACATAAATTGGCTAAATTAAATTGGCTTTTAATGCTGTTGTATAACACTACAATATTAATATGAAGATTTCCAACTACAAACCAACTTACATTATGCATTGAAGTTTGGAGACAGTTTAAAATGCTTTTTTCAGAACCGAATCTGACACTTGGGGGATGGGGGGGTAGCAGTGCGCGACTGCTCTTCTTCTGAATAAATGAAAACTAWATAACACAGGTGTTTACACTTATTAAAAATATTTGACCAAAGGAAAATCGGAGCAGGACTGGAGAGAGATGAATATGATTTAGATTTTTATTTCTGTGACTGTATACGACCCACAGGAGACACGGTATTAACAGCAGATTTCATTCCTTGGCTTTGTCAGCTCCTTTAGTTCCACAGCTGACGCTGCTAAAAAAGACAGATTTTCTTTTCTGGATCTCTGACAGCAGGACGTTAATCTCCGAACTCYTAAAGTTCTTCTTTTTTACTTTGRGATGTCATTTATGAACACTTCCTGGTYTCTGGGGCAGGAAACTTATATCCTTAWATGGTGTTTTTGGGGTGGTAATTATGCTAATCTCCTCTCCTCYTGCACGAGCACCTGATATGCTTTCATCAGTTTACGCAGCTCATTTACACACTTTTCCTGAAGATAGAAGAGTTTGTTGAAGCTGACTGACGTTCGTACGAACCCTTCGTACGAACAAAAGTAAGAGAAATTTAGGATAAGAAAACGAACATGTTCTTGCATGAGGCCCACTGTCCCACTTTCCTTTGCAGTTGTGCAGCACGCTGACACCAGGCCCACATCTCAGCAGCACCCGCAGYTGGCAGGTCTCGGCTCCCGGCTCCACAGTGCCCCCTGTCTGTTGGAGTGTGGGAGCGGTGGRGGCAGGCAGAAAATCAAGAAGCAGCACTCGGACCCCGTAACTGTCCCCTCAGCAGGGCTGATGACTGTCCGTCCCTTACACTCTTCCCCCAGACTTAGTGAGCTGATGCAGCGTAACCCCCTTCCTACCATCCTGGGCTCCCCCTCTAGAGTGAGTCAAAATCTTTGTTTACGCCTCAGTCTYGTTAAGATGCACAAGAAATAACCTGGGATGCTTTTTCTTCTCTCCTCAGGCCATACCTCCATTTGAATTCCCTAAACCCCCAAGTTCTCCGAACCTTGTGAACTACCTGACTCAGAAGGGTATGGTCATCGGCTCTCCTTGCAGCAGGACTGCCCCAGGAGAGCTCAGAGACTTTGGGCAACAAGCCATGAACACTGCRCACTGCATGCATCGACTGAGTGAGGATGGCGGGAGCTTTGGAAGGTTAGTTCGTTTTATTTATTTGTTTTTTTGTTTTTTTTTGTTCTGACCTTAATATCTAGTGATGGTTGTTTGGCTGCAGATACAGAATAAACAAGGGTTTCTTTATTAAACCTACAACTAATTTAATCCCTTCTTATTTTATGAGGCAGTGCAGCATAAATCAAACGTTGTTGTTCTTAAAAACTTTAAGATATTGTTTGTTGTATTGTTTAGTTTTATGATTTCTATGAATMTTTTACAATACATTAGTCTGCATTATTAAGTGCAAAATTTTAATATATATATATATATATATACATACATACATACAGTATGTTCATTTATTTTCAGATTGATATACTGTATAGTAAAGTTATAAATTTGAGCCGACACTTAAAGTATGTATTTTAAAAAGTGTTCTTTCATCTGTTTTGATGCAGYTCGCAGAGTGCTGGTCGTCTGTCTGACATGCTGCTAATGGCAGCATTTGGAGCAGGGGGACACGCAGGAGAGCGAGGCAGCACGGAGAACCTGACCTCTGAAAAAGCCATAGATATAACAGGTTTGTCAGTGAAAATAAACAAAAACTTGTATATCTTGTAGAAATTGATTTACCTCCTTACCTCTAACATCTAGTAAGTTTGCTTCAAAATTAAATGTTTGTATTTTTGTTTTTATTTTTGCTGACCAGTCAGTGCTTAATTTGAAATGATACCAGTACTTCTGTGTTGCACTACAGTCGTGCACGTCTTATCTGAAGCTCAACAGACATGTAAATGTGTAGTGTCTGTGGCTTAAATCAAGCTTATAAATWAAATTTTCTGTTTGTTAGGTGCCTCTAGTGATTGTGGAGGTTTTGCACCTGGGTCTTGCAGTCCAGCTCAGGTGGTCTTCACTGTTGGCTCCCCACCAAGTGGCAGCACCCCACCTCATTGCTCCAGACAGAGGAAATACTCGGGTATCAGTTTATAAATGATCTCACTATAACTAAACAGATGTAGACGTCTCTGCAGCCTTTCTGATGATGATTAACTTCTGCAACAAATATAAATTTTAGTGCTGGGCATAGATTAAAATTTTTTATCGCGATTAATCTCAAGATATTTTTGCGATTAATCGCAATTAATTTTTAGAAACGATCACTCTACTTTGTGTGTAAGTTTGTTGGTTGCAATACACTCCATGTGTGACACACTATATACATTTATTTCCTTTTGTTCTTATGGATTATTTTATTTTATTTATTTTTTGTTGACAGCTGTGACCTCAGTATCTATCTTTCCTTCCTTATGTAGTACTCATTTGGAATGAAAAAACTGAAAGCCCTTGAATTCTTGATTTAACCTCATTGTTCTGTACCAAATTTAACCGACTCAAAGATGTTTGGAGCATTTTTTAGGTACTGTTTTATATTTAAAAAGGGGGCAATGCATTTTCAAAAACTTTAAACAAATAAGGCAAAGCAAGCAGGTCTTACTTTTTCTATTTTTCTCCAACACGCTGGCCCGCGTTGTCTGCATAACCCTCTTGTTTGTTTACGCACGTCGGAGGCCATCTTAAGCCAGTAATAATGAAGATCCTGCCTCCCCACTGTAACCACTTCGTTTGTGTGTGTGTGTGTGTCTGTGTGTGTTAGCTGCCCAGTGAACAAAGCTCCGACGGAGAAATATAAATTAGTAACTGTTAATGTAAGTTAAAAAATGATTGCTGTTAAGCGTCGCCTGCATTAACACAATAACACGTTAACGTGCCCGGTACTAATTAACTTATAAACAAAATATAGAATGAAACACTGAGACTTCTTTCTAATTATGTCTTGATGTATGGATTATTTTTCAACAATAATGGCAACAATTTACAAAGTTGCCATTTATTGTTTAGTCTGTCTATTTGCAGTATTGATGATTTTGTGAATTTTACAGTAAAAATGATTTCTTTGTCATATTACTGCTCTTCTCCTGACTCCTGCAGGCTCCTTCCATTCAGGCAGCCCTGCAGGCTCCTTAACCGGTCGCTACCCTCAGGCTGGCACCTATATGGAAGGCTTTGAGACTCCACCCAGTCCTCGGTACAGCTTCTCTGATCCCATCACAGCCAACATGGGGGGTCCTGTGACCTTTGAGGCTCCTGAGCTGCCTGAGGAGACGCTCATGGAGGTGAGGAGCAGGTTTCTGACACAGCAGATCTCCTGTGTTTAATGRTTGTGTTCATGTCAGATCAGGCTCTTTGTAAAGTTACATTCTTGTTGACATTAGCTAATAAACCCCCTTCTTCGTCCTTGTCTGCTCCTGTCGGAGTGCAGCAGGAACACACAGAGACGGTGCAGAGTCTGCGCTTCACTTTAGATTTTACCTACTGTCTCATGGAGGTGGCGGGGGCCCGTGGTGCTGTGGTGGCAGGACGACAGGGAGACGTGTCTCACCTCTTTCTCCTTCAGCAGCAGAGCCTGGTAGCAGATCAGATCAGCTCTCTGAGCCGAGAGTGGAGGTAAAAATCAAGGACTTTCTGTTTTTGTTTATCTGGCCACAAGCAATTCTAGTGTGGTGTAGTTACATGTTTAAATAAACCCCCGTCTGTGTGATTTTATATAACGTTTAGAAATACTCTCTACTGTTCRGCTGATTTTAAGCCACATTTATACATCATTGTATAAAAAGATCAAGTMATGAAATAAAACCATACACAGGTTGGTAGTAGCTACAGATTTCTCTTCATTTGAACATAATCTGGAAATGAATAATATTTTGGATTTGTAGAAGAACTGGTGACAATGAGGTAATTAAATAAATAATAATTCAAGAAGGAAGTTATCCGCTCGTTTCGCCACAGTTCTGCAGCTTGCATTCATGATTTTAGATAAGAGTTGGTGTGAATGAGRCTATTGCACATGTGTAATTCAAGGTTTATTTTTTTCTTGATTTAAGAGTTTAGGTTCCCTCTCTTGTGTGATTTATTTTTAATTTATTTATTTTATTTAAAAATGTATTCATTTCATTTAAAAACAAAACAAATGCTATGCATACAACAAACAATAATACAACACAAAATGAAAGGTAGCAGAAAGAAGAAAAAAATTCTTGATATCTGCCCCTTTTTCAAAAATAAATACATTGAAACAATAATAGTCTTCAAATAACAAAACATAAAAACTTTAACTCCTCCTCTAATTGTCTCCTTAGTCACGCCGAACAGCTGGTGCTCTACCTTAAAACTGCAGAGCTCTTGTCTTCTGCCTTACACACAGCCATGGAGAGAGTTAAACAGGGCAAACTCTACCCCTCTGCTACTGTGAAACAAGGTACGAGCCCTTGTTCACGCACCAAGCAGGACCATCTTTTAAACGTGTATAATTCAAACATTGCTCWGAGCAGAAACATTTGTTTTCGTCTCCCAGTTGTGAGAAGGCTGAATGAGTTGTACAAGTCCAGCGTGGCATCCTGCCGCTCGCTCAGCACACGTCTGGAGCATTTCTTCAGCAGGAAGCACCGTCTAATGGACCAAATCACCTCCATCACCGCTGAGCGGCTGCTCTTCAGCCACACTGTGCAAATGGTAGAGTAAAGTGAATGAATGGTACACAGGTTGTGTAGTCCTATAAGTACTGTAAATAATAATAAGGCTTTTGATTTTCCCGTTTTTGATCTCAGGTTCAGGCTGCTGCGTTGGATGAGATGTTCCACCAGGGGGAAGCATCAATCCTGCGCTACCACAAAGCTCTGCTGCTGATGGAGGGCCTGTCTCTGCTCCTCACTGAGCAGGAGGACATCCTCAGTGTTAGCAAATGTTAGTATCACTAACACCAGAACCCACCATCATCTGGGTTTGAGCCAAAATTCTCATTCTTGTGTGCTTAAAAGAAGAATTTACATAAAAATAACTGGTTTTGCTTTAATTAAAAAGGCTCAGCTTAATTCTTTTGTTCCTTTCTCGCTGCAGGTAAGGAGTGCATCGAACGCCGCCTCACAGCTCTGCAGTCAGGCCTCTGTGTTTGAGAGTCCCCACACCATATGATGTCATCCATTTACACCTAAACAGGACTCCTCCCACATTTCATGGTTTCACAAAGAAAGGCTTTCGTTTTCGCAAGAAAACCACAAGGCTCAAGTTTACACAGAAACCTGAGGGTTAGACTTGTGAACATTTTTTAGGTTCTTCAGCAGTGAACTGCAGCGGAAACTTCCCGATTACTGCAGTTGGCCCAGAGCTGGACACGAAGATGACTTTACTGATGGCTCTGAAAATGACAAGTAGCCCATTCCCACGCCGATGCTATAGGCCCAACACAAACAGGAGCAGTTATTGCCAAGTGGTCACATTCCTTCACATGTTCATTGTCTTTAAGGTCGACTAATATTCTACAAGCAATTTACTCACAGTTTCATCTCTTACAAAAACGCAAGCTGGAAGAAAAGTGTGGTATTTGCTGCACGTGTAGTAATATTAGCTGTTAAGGACTGGCCGTGTCCAAATATTCCCACTTTTGTGTATTTTATGTGTTTTCATTGTTTRATTTRATTGTTAAGTTTCTCTCACTGTAACCGTGCTGGTTTTATGAGARAAAAGACAGAAACTTGACGGATGCTATACTTATCAAAGGCCTTGACCTATCGACACTATGTGGTTTAGAAGGAAAAAGTTTAATTAGATTTTTATTGCTTATCTATTTTTAAATGGTCTTGAGCAGGAAGAGGGGTCCTGTTAACACTCAAAACACCCAAAGCAACTTAAAACCTGTTCTGTAGCTATTGTGTCAAAAAAAAAGACTGAAAATCATTCGTCAGCGTCTTTCGCCTTTTTAAAGAAACTAACAAAAAAAATGCTGCAAAAACCTGGGATGTGTTCATCTGGCACACAGACGCTTCCAGACTGCTGGTAATTTCTTCAAATGATTCCATATTTTGTATTTTCTCTGTCAGATCATGTCAGTGTTTAGCGGGTATAATCAAATCTGAATGTAAAGCTGTCAGACGAGAAGCAGCAACGATGGGCTGAATGTTYCGTGACTTAACATTTAGGCAGAGCTTATAGGGCTGAATGATTTTGCACTGTCCGAGTACTGTATAGAAAGAGGAACATGATAAAAGTCATCCAGTTTTTGTAGCCGTGCTCATTTAATAACTTCTGCTTGCTCGTTTTAGCACCGTTTTAGTTGTTACAGATCCTGTCAAATATGCTTGATGGAAGAGTGTTGAAGGAGRGGGAATAAGCTATGATATCTTCAATAGTTCCTAAAAAAGAAGAAATAGGATGAGAAACGTGTATTTACACTGAAGAATATATATATTTGCAGTGTTTGTTTGTGCTTTATTTCAGATTTGATATTGGGCAGGGCTTTAAAAGGCTTCTTGTCGGTTTGGATTGCGAGTTTTAATTTTTTTTATTCTGCTTAAAACAATTTTTTGTATCGATGTTTACCATCCCAGAAAAAAATTCTTAAAAGTTTTTGGGGTCAACTGGACATGTTATCTTCTGCAGTGKGTTGTTTTTGAAGAGATGGTTGCGTGTTCGCATGCATGTGTGCAGTGGTGTTTGCTGTGTTAATGGGTGMTGGGGTGAGTTAAGCACATATTTTGTCACAGGTCTGTGTATGAAGATGACTCGAGTGAGATACAGAAGCTTTTTCTTCCAATCTAACACTGATTTACCCCAAAACTCATTCCTTCAGCTTTTTAAAAAAAACGTAAAATAAGTGAATATTTTCTGATAAAATTTTGAGTTTTTTTTTTTTCGAAAAAGGGGCGGGGTTTAAAAGTGAAGCCCTTTTACAATAGCATGAGCAGCAGGACAGCCTTGAAAGAGAACTTGTGTATTTTTACTTTGTTGCCTTTTACGTTTTGTCTGAAAATTTGCTCCATGTGTGTTTATGTGTACATTCCTTCTTGTAGCTCATCCACAAGATCTCCATCTTTACACTTGTTTTGTTCAGCGAGACCGTCTCCAAAGAAGCAGGTGTCAGGAAAACTGATGCATGGGTCACTTTTTGTTTAATTGTTCCACACAATCATTGCTGTTTGACATCATTGGAAAGAACCTAAAGAACCATTATGTAACCAAATGTGTTTGACACATCAAAATGGTTTCACTTGGGGTCTGAATTCTTCTTTTTGTATATTTTATAACTTACTAGAATTTTTCCATTTCCATTTGCCTAATTCTGTGTGGTTTTATTGTAAGTTAAGTTATTGTGTGCTCGGAGAGATACCACCTGTACTTTCCAAAGACTCTGCTTTCGGCTCGATCTTCCACGTTCTACTGTCGCAGAATCAATTTTCATATCCCTAACAGATCCCACTCAATATTCCTGTGTGTTGATGTAACTTTTTACTCCTTTGGGAGCTCCATTATGAATAAAGTGGAAGGAAAGGTCACATGGCTACAACAGTTCTGTTTACTTTTATTTTTTTTACCTCGTTTATGCAGAAATGTTTCACTCAATGGGAAAGTCCTGCAGAATTCTTTAGATTTGTTTGCTCATCCTATTTATCACTTCTCTATTTCACACCCTGTGACAGTCTTCAACGAGTTCAACCACCTACCTGTACTCGGTAGAAGCATTTCCACTGTTATTTTGTAGAAACTGGAAAATTTGAAGAAAAATGCAAATGTTTTCAAATGTAAATGGTGTAAGTTGATGAAATAATGAGCTATAGCAACTTGGACTGGGGTGCAACCATTGTTATACCAAGAGTYTATTAAATATAACTATATTTATAACCAGAGCTGGGCAGTAACAAAGTAAATTTACTTAAGTAAAGTTATTGAGTATTTGTAAAAAAAATTACTTGAGTAAAGCATGTGCAGATCTACTGTGCATGCTTGTGCTGCTGTTTAAGTTTAGTTAAAAACAAATGAGGAAGACGCCCATGTCAAAAACATTTTTTTAAAATAAATATGTTTTAGGAGACAAAAATGCATGTAAAAGGAAAAACAAGAATATATATTTTTTAAAATAGTAACATTTAATTTAATTGCTAAAATATATGATTTATTGGAACTATGCTGGAAAAATTAAGGTGAATTAAGAGGTAAAGTTCTCCTTTTCTAATTTAATAGGTGCATTTTAAGTGTATTCATTTATTTATTGGTCCATTTATATATTTCTGCTTTTATTTCTAATAATTTCTTAAAAGTGTACTTTATCAGAATTTTGTTTAATATAAAAAACAATGTTTGATGCAGTGGTGGATCTGGGATTTTTCTGAGTAATGGGCCAATATATTTATAGAGTGGCCAAGTATTTGTTCAACCTTCTTTCACACAAATCCCCAGTTTTGGTAAGGTGCTTACATTTAACCAGTTAAACATGTTCAAACACCTGTAATGTAATATATATATATATTTTAAAAAAGCTTGCAGAATAAACTCTCCTTACCAGTTTTACATACATTTTACTAGATAAAATACTTTCAAACACAGAGCATTTGAGAAAATCTAGTCATCATTTGTCATTTGAAAGACTTTCTGCAGTATTGTTCTGATTTTCTTAGGAGAAGAAGACTTAAGCTTGATACATGCTAGACTTTCCTATTTGATTGTTTTAATGTTTTACTTTATTTAATTTGTTGTGGTGGTTTTTATCTCTTGCTACTGTTCAGCACTTTGCCTGAAAGCGCTTTATAAATAAAGTTGGTTATTATTTGCGCCTCTAGTGTTTAGACATGGAACTGCATCAGCCGTCATTGCTTCCAGAAAATGGACAGATGATTGACAGGACAGGGGCACTTCATAGGGCCAATCAGATTTCAGCTGGGGCCAAAGCTCCTGTGGCCCCGCCCCTAGAACCGTCCCTGGTTTGATGTTATTCTAATTTAAAGGGCCTTTAGGGTAGCGTTGTCATGGAAACGTTGAGTAAACGGGTGCTAAAAGTTAGTTATCCAGGATAGGCCTACTTTCAGAGAAACCTCAGTTTGAGCTAGCAAGTTGTTTTTTTATGGACAGCTATGTCACTGTCCAAGCTGAACTATAATGGAGAGAGAACAGCGAACTAAACTAGCTAGTACATGCTAATACAGTCGTCCAGCCGAGCCGAGTCATGTCGGGCAACAGTCTCCCGCCGCCGCAGCATTTGCCACACTGGCCCAGAATCGGATGTCTCGGGAAACCTGGCCTRCCGCGACATTTACCGGCGAACCGACCACAGCAGCGTCTGCCTGCCGTCCCGCTGACGGACGGAGACGTGGCGGTGGGGGTCGCAGGGAGGTCCAGTCTCAGCGACGAGAACCCCCGCGTGGCATCGCTGCAGAGGAATATCCGGTTTCTGCAGCGACAGCACGAGGACACTCTGGAGAAGCTCCACGCAGAGATAGACTACCTCAGGAGGGAAAACAAAGGTGTGTTTCCATGAAGTAACAGATGTTGGCTAATAAACAGCTGGCTCTTAGTTTTGGTTTCAGTGGAGGTGGATTACTTGAAGCATTAAGCTTGTGATAAAACCTATTTTAGGCAGAGTTGTAAAGTAACTAATTACAAATACTTTGTTACTGTACTTAAGTAGAATTTTGGGTATCTGTACTTCACTTGAGTAATTATTTTCCAGCATACATTTATTTCTATTTCTTACATTTTCACACAATTATCTGTACTTTCTACTCCTCACATTATTTTTTAAAAAAGGCAAAAAGTAGAAAGATGTTACTTTTARTTCATTTTTGCTTGTTTTCATTCCAGCTTGTTATTGTAAAATATAAACACTATCCATATAAATTGTGCCTCCTAGATAGAGTGAATTTAATTGTGGTTGAATGAGAAGTATTAATATATAAAATTCTGGTATCGTATTAGTTTGTACACAAACAAATGTCACACTCCAGCAGGACATAATCATTAAAATAAAAGGACTGTACTTAAGAAGTATTTGTATTTCATGAATTATATTATTGCATTTGG